GCTGAAGTCGTAACGTAAACGATATTCGGTTTTTGGGGTTTCAGTCAAAAAAGTATTCATGCACATTTAAGCTAAGTTTTTATCACGGATTTTGTCAGTGAAACCTCTATCAAATCACATCCAATGTCTAAAAATGGTTGGTTTGGTAATATCGGTGTTGAATTTTCACGAAAAAGTGTTCGGGGATGTCAAAGTCATTTTTCATTAGTTTAATAACTATCAACATGAAAAACCTATTCTACGAGTCGGTTATTTTTAAGCTTACTTATAATCAGTGATGAATAAAATAATTAAAAAAAATTATCTAGATTTTAGATACTAGAAACATAAATTTTTACCCGAAGATACAAGATACAATTAAACATTTTAAAAATACCCTAAATACTACAATATAATAAAAATACTTTATTTTGTTTAGATATAAAATACAAGATACTATTAAATTTATTTTTTTAAATTATTATTAAAGCAAGTAAGATTTTTAAAATGTATTGTATCTCAATATTGTGTATTTTCAATAAAAATTGTAACATTTATTATGGGGCGCTGTAATAAATCCGGTCTATTATATTTCTTTAGGATTAAATATGGCAAACTATTAAAAAATAATATTAAAAGCTTAAATAAAATAAATTTAAATTACTTTATTACTTATCACTAATTTTAAAAATGACCGAATTATTTTTTAAGAAATATTACATTTTTGAATACATAATTTAGAACATGTTGTTGAATATATGAAACCAGCTGAAGAAAACATTCTTTCAAATGGTGCTGAAGAAGACAAACTTATAATGTAGCAAACAAATAGTTTAGCCTAATTTACCCTAAGACGGGTTTCAGTCAATTATATACATTACATCCAGTGAATTTAAAATTCACTTTTATTTTTTCTTAGAAAAAAAATGTATTTTCATTCGTACCTTGTATCCTTACGTAAACAAAATGAAAAATATAAAATGTACAGCCACAAAAAGTATTTTGCATGAAAGAAACAGTTCATAAATGTTAAAATACACAAGATATAAATGTATCTAAGATACTGCCCATCCCTACGTATAATTGATTTTTAGTTATGAATTATTATTATAGTCACTGGGCGATAGCCAAATACGGTATTATAATGTCTGTCTTTTTTTTGACCGACAAACGAAAAACATTTATTTTTTATTAAACAACTTTATTTTGAAAGCGAGAAAATGCATTACGTGTAGTATTATGAAGACTGGTAAGAGTTCAGTTTTTAAGCAATGAAAAATCATGAATGGAAGGTTCAAACACCATATTATTACTACGCAAGCCAACACAAGAAATCTGGTGACGATCAATTCACTCGAAAAGCTAAGAGGACATTCTTTATCGGTGTAAAGTAGGGTAACTATTGACCATATTCTTAAAAAAAGTGAAAACTCGAACTGAAAGGTCCACCTTCTTCAAACTCATCAATAACACCGAAAATGTCTCTCAAATGTTGATTTTTTTTTGCCATAGCTTAGTCCCATATATTGTAATAAATTATAAATATTTCTAACATTGCCCGAAATATATTTTTCGGTACGCTTTCATCCAAACTATTGTACCGAAAAAACGGTCCAGGGTTATTTCATTATCTTAAATAGGCAAAAAAATGTAAAGTGCATACAGGGCTTGGCTATTCGTGAAACAACAAACACAGCAGCAGTCGAAATTTTGTAAAATGGCATTGTGAGATTCTTAGTTTCAGGAAGATAGAGAGAAAAAGAGTCACATTCTGAATGGAATATTATAAATGTATGGTCATTATATTAAATTACCCGTGAAAAAAACTTACTCCAACATTACTATTGGAAGTTATACTTCTATTGATTTTGGTAACAGTGAAATACTGCAGACATCATGTTTTGAAAGCTGCACTTAAACCGCTGTAAACATTTTATTAACTGAAAGAAATTACTTTTGAGGGAACGAGTATGTATTAACTCGTATGTAGTATTAATAATTTTAGTACTAGATCTAGACGATTAACTGCAGAACACATCCAGACTTTTTGTCAATGTGTTGGTTTTCGACGTTCTGTTCTGACCCAGTAAATTAATAAATGATAAATATTTGATAATTTTAATTTTGCTATATCATTATTGTCTTTCTCGTAGTGTCGGTCCAAATACAAATATATGACGGTGTTCACGGCTTATGTCCATCAAATAAAAAAAAACTAGAAGAAATTTTTGATATATTAATTATAATTAATATATCAACAATTTCTTTTTTTTTAATAATTATGATATATCATAACTACTAGGTATACCACAGATGCCTAAAAATGGAGGGTACTGAGAGGTCATTCAATGTAGCTATTAAAGTTTAATGAGATCAGTTTCAATTATGTTAATTATTTTAAAAATTAAAAATAAATTAACGTTGTCCATAGAATTATTCAACAATGATTTGTGCAAAAATTACCACTTCTTTGGTCATCAAGACATTATGTATAAAAAATATACACTAAATAAAATACAAATAAAATGAAAGAATACAATGAAAATCGTTTCAAAATACTAAAAACAATTATTTTTCAAGAACTTTAATACAATTGTCTTTCTAAATCGCACTGTGTCTAATATGAGAAAAGGTTATCCGACATAAAAATGTATTTTTTTATTATTTATAATTATTAATGTTTCTATATCCTTATACTTTTCTTTCTAATCTACTGAAAAAAGTTAATATCATGACAGATAATACAAAATATTAATAGCACAAAATTAAGACTTACCCACGATAACAATTATTACTATCTTAAAACAAATTGGCCTGTTAAACATATATCTCTAGCAATTAGTGGTATGAAATAAATCCGGATTCTCCGAAAATTCGAAAAATCCGGTTTTCGGATTTTCAGTTGTAAAATCCGAATATGTGGGTTTCACATTGTGGATTTCTGTATTCTAAAGCAAGTTTTTGAAAGTTGTTCATCATAATTTTTCAAACTTAAATTATTATATTTGTAATTAAGTATATATATACATTATTACTTGTATTTTTCTGTTAGTTTATTTAGGTATTATTTATTGTGTCTTTTTGGATAAATTATTCTGATACATATAAATGTTGTTACTAATTTCATGTAGAAATTAAGTTTAGGTCGTAATATCTACACGTTATTGCAATATTGATAATTGTTGTTGTTATATTTTTATTTTAAAAGTTTTTCTATAAATATATTTATTCATTAAAAAAAAAAAATGTGTATTTATCAAGGTTTTAATATAAGGAATCCATAAAATATATTAATTCAATGTTTCAAAATCCGAAATCCGGATTTTGAGTAAAATCCGAATTTGAATTCCGAAATTCGGAATTTTCTCCGAATCCGGATTACGGATTTCGAATTTCATGAATCCGGATTTTCGAACTTCGGTAAATCCGAATTTTTCACACCACTACAATATAACACGTTTGGGATAATTTTTATAAATATTTTGTTCAAAATTTTACCATAATGTATTCGGCTCATCGACCGTGTAGTTTGTTTGCTCGATAGTTTTCAACCCAATGTCGTGATACTGCCTATTATGTAGTTTTTATCCTAGAAAAAAATATGGGCACGTTGCTCAAGCATTTCTAATAATAAATTTTAACAACATTTTTATTTGATTTCAGGAAACAAGGAAATATTTACAAAAACAAAATATTAAAAATTTTTACTAAACCCTCATCGAATATGTAGCAGATATGATTAAGTGATATATTGTCGTTGTCGAATGGCGATGGTACTTTCAGCTTGTTAAAACATTGAATTTTTTATAGAGTAAAATATAGGATAATAATAATGTCTACTCGTAGTCGTAAAACGTGCATTATAACAGCATAAGTAAATAAAACGCATAATTACGTGTGTTAACCGAGTATAATGAACATTAACGCTGCTTGAAGTTGTTATAAGCACGAAAAAAAAAATGAAAATTAAGAATACAATATTATATCTTAAAAAATATGAAAATGGTAAATTATATACCATATTTATCCGGAATTTGTGTCAGGAAGTTATAGCACAGATGTTTTTTCCTGAAAAAACATTAATAAAATAATATATATATATATAGTTCTGTTATATGCATCCTTTTTTTTTTTTTGTGATCAAGTATAATAATATTCATAAATTGATTTTTGCGTTTAGTTTGAAATAAAGTAGAAAAAAATAATAATGTTTACATAAATTATCATATTTAAAATCAAATAAAAATATTACAGAATATAATTGTCTTTGACACTTTTGTTAAAAAAACAATCGAACCTACACAAAATGTTTTTGCCTCATACATTTGAATTCGTGAATTTGTACTTTGTGATTTAAAACGGTAATACGATGGAACACGTAGTTCATAATAATAAGTGTCATGTCGATCAACTACGAAAGATCGGAGACGATTCGATGATGCTACGATTGATCCTATCGCACAGAGCCGTACCGAGCCATTTTTTATCCTGAGGCAGAACTGAAGCTATGCGCCCCCTGGGTTATAGAGTTATCTCACTTACAGTTTATAATATGTTTAATACGATTCGGAAAAATCTGAAAAATTATAATTTGGTTTCTAGTAAAACAAGAAAAAACATTTCTTAAAATAAGTTAATTATTTAATATTTTTGCGCCCTCCAGCTTCAAGCACCTAGGGCAAGTACCTCGCTCTCCTCATCCTAGTTACGGTTCTACTGTTGTAGCAATGATTCGTACAAGTTGATCAGCACAGTTTTGCTCGTGGTCCATAAGGCAAAGAAAAAACATATCTATGCGATACGAGTTACGATGTAACATGTACATTTTTCCCGTTACACTCGGAATGATTTGGCCCGAACTAAATTGGGGTACACAAAATCGCGTCGTCTATACCGCTTCTTTTACATGCGTACACATGCGTGTATACACATACGACACGACGCTGAAGTGGTGAGAGGAAAACAATATAACACGACGGATGGGCCAATGGATACAACAATAACAATAAAAATAATAACGATAGTAACAATAACAATAATAATTATAATAGTAATAATAATAATACAGTAAAAATATTTATATGTAATGTTCGCTGGTGAGTGCGCCGGACTCCTATGTTGCTGATACGCATCCGTTGCGCTTGTCACGTGCACACGCTCTGCGCACCCGTACGGGACACGACGACGTGTGTTGCGTTGGGTAAAACACGATTGCATACGTTTATTATTAGCGATACCTTTTTAAGTTACACGATTCCGTACGAAGTTTTAAGCGTTGATGCTAATTTTCTTACCGGTATTGGGTGTATACTATATGCCTATACGAGTGAACTTGAAAAATTTGATAAATAATTTGTGTTTTTTATATCACTTTTATTACCCATGTTTATTGTTTCGGTAAAAGTAGTAGGTTATAGATGCCAGACAATCCAAATTTAAGCGTTTTCGATTTATTGACAATAATTTTATTAAAATAAAATTAGTTAATTCGACAACGTTGCATATAATTTCAATCATGTTTATTTATTTTTCTTTTCCACATTTTTGTTATCCATCTACAAACATACGCAATCGTGTTGCCGAAAAGGACAAATGTACGCAATCGCGTTCTACCCAGGCGTTCGTCCGGTTCGTTTCCACGTCTCACGACGCAATCAACTCTCGCAATCATCATCGTTATCGGTAACCGCGTCCACGGATTGCACGTCGTTGTCGTCGTCGACCAGAGTTCGCGGCGGCGGCTGCGTCGGCAGCTCGGTACCGTCATCCACCCGGGGCAAACCGAGTCCGATTGTCGCACTTATTTTGGTCGTCGCTTGTCTGAACGAATTCTGCAACTTTTCCTGGAACACAAACGTGCGGTCAGGTCGGGTATGGCACACGGCGTCTCGTCGGCGGTACAGCGTTAATTTCCATACGTACGATTCCTTTAGAACACTAATAATCATATTTTTACATTTCTCCTAGAAGCCATCGAAATTGCTTATCGTTTTAATCAACGGATTGCAAACGACTAACTTGTTTTGAATAAAAAAAGAAAAAAAACAATCGAGACACGGATAATATTTTTATAAATTGCCAAGGAACTTGGCTCTCCAAATCGACTGCTTTATTAATATTTATACGAATGGTATTATCAATATTTCCGGTCGACGAAAAGCTTTTCCAAGAATACGGAACTAATAGTAAGATTACCGGTTCGAATTCTCCACGAGATAGAAATAATTACTTGTGTCCACATTTCGTGTTACTTATTCGTAATCGTCAATTGCATTTTTTGCAAAAAAGTTTTAACAGATCACGTGAAAAGAAAAAAAAAATCTAAATATATGTACTATATTTTACACTCTATTTGGAGTTGCATAGAATATCGCTTACAGAAGAACACCTGTTGGAATATTACACATTTTACTGGGATATCAAATATTACGGAAACCAACTGGCGAAAGTCAAGTCGACAATACAACGTAATAAATTAACGAGTTAAGCGTATCTAGGATTTATGTACGGTAGAAGAAGCTAACCACTATCAAACATTTAAACCATCCCTGATCCAGGATTCAGAAAACTTTAAACGTAGTTATCCTAGCTATAAATCTAATCGTGACGAATGTAAATTATTATATAATATATACGTTTATAATAATTATAGTGTAAATATACTGTATTAACGCTGTATATTAAAATTTATTCCGATTAGTTAATTAAAGATATCATTGTAATAAATAATGGTACACTGCATCAGGTAAAAATCAGACGTAGAAGTAAAACGAAACAAGATAAAATTTAAATCGTCGCAAAAATAAAGGTAATAACCGTATTTGGAGCATGGTATCTTCAACCCAAACTGACACTGAGTGAAGTTATACTATCAAAAGTTGCGATCGGCTACCAATATCCGGCCAATTTTCGAGCGAAACGGACATTGTTAACATTTTACTAGAAACCGTTCAAAGTCCAAGCTGCACACACCGACGCCGACACACATACACTCACACACTCGTGTAATATATTCATGTCCACGTAAACGAGTGCGTGCGCAACAAATCACGACGTCCGTAGAGAAGGGGTTTATCCTTTTTCCGTATACATACATTACGCGTGTACGTTTCGCATTCCGCGGGTCGGGAAATAATATCGTTGTTCCAAGGGTAGGTGTACTTACACCGTTTAATTAATAATGCAACGTACAACGCATCCATAAGAACCGAAATCAAATCCTCTAGTGCCGCGCTGCACTATGTATATATATATATATATATATATATATATTAGAAGCCATATTCGTGCCGCATACGTCGCGCGCGATTAATAATCCGCAGAGCCCAGGACATCCGGATGGATTCGCTTGCATAATATTCATAAACTGCCCGTGCGAAGAGAGTCGGAATTACGTCGGTTGATAAAAATAACTCCCTGCCGTCAAAAAAACATCCCGGCCGGGCGTGGCACATCAGTCACAGATTTGGTTATAATACGCGTAGCTGTGGCGCGCGCGTACATTTTAATCTGTTACGGGGCCCAAATAGTGGATAAAATATAAAAATTAAATTATACAGGAAAAAAACGAATTTACAAAAAAATATGTAAAACCGTTCGTTTATGCCGAAACGAACGCGCGATATTATGATATTATTTATAAATTATTCACCACTCCGTAGGAATACAATAGCCACTACGAATAAAATCACATAACACGATACGGAATTCTAGTTGGACATAAGTAGAATAAAATTACGTTTGTGGGGATTAAAAAATACAATTTATTATTATTGACCACATGTTTGTGGTCCACGAGCAATGAAGAAGCGTGACAGTAATATAGTTCGTATCGGCTACATTGTTTTCGTTTCATAGTTTTTCTACCGTGATCGAGTAAATTTTAATATCATAAATGACCAAATCTTCATTATTTCTTACCTGTACAACATTTATGCACATAGATGTCAATGCGAGTCCGAATACCAAGTACACGATAGACACGATCATCACAAGTTGGTTCTGTAAAGCACAATAAATGTTCAATATATGTTCAAAATAAGTAGTTTTTCAAAATTTTTGGTTGAAATATTTACGCAGGTTAGTTGCATGCTACTAAATACAAATTTTTATTTTAATACAGACAATGTAGTCGTTAATGATTGCGATTACGATAGGTGCACGAAAGACCAATCAATAAGTATAAGTTAAATGTTTTTTCAACACTTTCTCAAGTAATATAATGTATTTTAGAGTATTTCAATTCGAAATGCCAACTGCAGTTTTTCCAAATATGTGAACAAAAATTTAATCATAATTCGGACAACTGTTCATACTGTTCAATTAGAAAATGCCCATATTGGAGATCAACTCGAAAATATCTACAATAAAATAAACTATAAATTATGATATTATATAACTAGGTACTGAAAATAACAATATTAATTCTAGTTAAAATTTGAATGATGCAGATAATTGGTATTGATTCTTTAAAAACTATTGTCTGGGAAAAAATTAAACAGGAACGCACGAAGCCCATAAAAATCAAAAACGATCATTTGACTAGTATCATTGATTTTATAGTATATTTTAGATAGACTATAGGGTATTTTATAATATTATAGTCGAAGAAAAATACATTTAAAAAGGGCAAATGTAGGGATAAGATATAAATGTCCCTATACATTTAATCTTGTTGAATGAATTTTATCCGTTGTCATACCGGACAATAGCTTAGCTTATCTGTACATGTTATTATAAAATACTATTTGTTGTTAAAACTATTCATATTGTAATAAAAAACTAAGTGTATATCATTTATTACAATGTAAATGGACTGAAAATCAAGGATTGAAAATTATTGCGCCAATGTTCTAACGTCCGAAGTGAATGGATACTGAAAGTTAAATTGGTTTTTATCATGCATGAAAAAACATTGGAACCTTTGAAACAAAAAAATCAACAACGGTTTCCACACGCTTTTATCGAGTAATAATTATACTGGCTAGTAGTATTTAAAAAAATTATAATTATTTTATACGCGTCGTGCAGGATTTTCTCTGTGAATAAGTCTGCTTATTGTTTGGGAACAGCGGAAAAATCCGACCAGGGCCGCCCTGTTTTACTTACCTTGGGCACGAAGTCACCGAATCCGATGGTCGACATGGATATGAAGACGAAATAGAATGATTCCGAGAACCCCCATCCCTCCTCGAAGCAGAACACGATGGCGCCGATGACGATGTATACCACCAGTACGACGAACGCCACCGAGACGGGCAGATCGAACTCGTCGTCGATCGTGTACACGCTGAGGGCTGGCGTGCTGGGCGAAGTCGGTGGAAATCCGGACTGGCCGTCCGGCACGCCTCCGAACATGTTGCTGGGTCGTCGGAACTTGGTGATGTCGTACATCATTTGCATGCCTTTCATAACCTCCTGGAATAATGCAACGGTTCCGGTTGTTACTATTCGCAGAAACGTGTGTGCGAATCTGTGCGATAGACTCGGGCCCCACCTATCCACGCATATCCTTTAACGTTTTCCCGTTCGGTCGTAGGTAAATCGAGTACCAAATGATTTTATCATTTTTCGAAGACCGTTAACAGAGTTTCGCGTTTAAAAATAAAAGCGGTAAACCGAGTCCTAAATGTAACATCGAATACATAATTATATCAAATACTCTATCGGAAAAAGAGGATACATCAAGAAAGAAAATGCCAAAGTTCAAGAACAACAATGTTATTAGATTTGACTCTGTTAAAGCGGTATTAATAAGCGACTTGAAAATATTGAAGTTGCTGAACGGCGTAGTTTTATACCTCGCTTATTTTATAAGTACGCGAATAAATTCGATATTCTATTTGTATTCAGTTAGAGATTCTCTCTCTCTTCGGTAAATCAAAATACATTATGAAACATTAACGTTTGCATCGACTTTATTTCTTCAAATCAGGCTTCCATTAAAACCTTAATTTAATTACTATTGTTTCTGAAATGCAATTACCTATCAAACTAAATGATACTTTCAACTTTTTGTTTTAATGTAGTTACTACATATAATAATATAAAAAAAACTTTTTTTTTAAATCAAGCGAGTAATAATGGTTTGTTTTTATCAATATTCAACCCCTTCAATACAAATATTGTTCTTGATGGTATAACGACTAAAAAATAAAAAAGTATCTTATTTATAACTTTCTAGCTATAGAATTGTTTTTGTTCTGATTATTATTAATTTATGCATCCACTTGTTGTTTTACTTAACATTTTAATTGGTGGTTTTCAATTATTATTATAAGCATCAACATTTCAAAACGAGTAAACAGTTTACGTGTTTCATGTTCACCCGCCCACATGATATTTTTCTATGAATTATTTATTCAGTTATTACGTACACACCAATGGATTTGGAAAAACAAAACGGGATGAAAAACACTCACCATTAAATATACATTATACTTTTAACCTGTTTTATAATGTACATATTACACAGTGTTACATTAGAAATGAATCCATTAATTTTTTGACCCCCATGCATTATATATATATATATATATCAAAACACAGCTATGTATTTAAATGTTAAAGTATACAATATTGTATTATAATAAGAATTATTGAATAATTTTCAAGTAGTTGTGAGACGTATGAATTTTTAAATTCCTTCAGTAAAAACTTTGAACAATTACGGGTATATAAAATCATAAACCGTTTATTTGAAATAACAAATGTTAATAATTTGTAAAATAATAGTATATCGAAGTTAAGCTGTAAATAACCGTTTGAAAAATGAAAAATCGTCATTATTTTTTATCAAAAATTAATAATACCTATAATTGTACCAGTAATTTTAACCATGATAAAGCATATTTAAAAAAATTATATATATATATGTTACGCCGAATTTATGAAATTGCCGATTTCATGAAATCAGCAACGTTGTCGTGGAATACTTGAAATCGGCAACTTAAAGTACATAATACTGCAAATTGCGTGAAATCGACAAGGCCCTTCTTAAAAAAATTATAATGTATAATTTAATTTAAATAATTGAGTAAAACGCCGAAAATATAATAAAATAATAAATACATTTTAATGTGTAAAAAAAGTAAATAAAAAAAAAATTGTATTATATTTAAATATTTTGGCAAGTATGGCCTGGGTTACACGTCGAATTATACATCAAATTATTTTTTTTACATATGCACTTTTTAGATGTGCGATTCGTACGACAAATACGTCAATATATAGCCTATAATCAATAGCCTTGTCCGGTCTCAACTGACCCCAATCTAACAAGTTCCCGTAATGAATATTAATTTTGTTGAATGTCTGCAATCGCAGGGAACAGTACTTTGTAACTGCCAAACTGTTCCGCTCCAGCCATGTGCTTAAAATCCCTTCTTTGGTCCTAATACGAAATTTGCAATCTTTTTTCTATAATTGCAAGAAGGTTGGCTGCATCACCTCGCTCTCGATCCACAAATAGGATTGACACCAGAACATTGTCATCAAATTTTAAAGGAAGGAGGAAACTTTCAATTAGGTACTTCCATAAACCACTATTTGTAATTATATCATAATAATGTGTTAACGAATTCGTGCAATCGGCAGAAAAAAGCTGCCTAATTCACGAAATCAGCAATCAAAAGTTTCCGATTTCGTGAATTTGGTAACCAAATTGCCGATTATACGTATTCGGCGACAACGTTGTTGCTTTCACAAAATCGGCAATTTCATAAATTCGGCGTAACATATACGAGTATAATACAAACGTGATTCAGTAATATTTTCTTATATAATGATACCGTGGATTATAAACAATCTATATTTAAATCAGTCATGATACGTACAAGTATAGCCTAGTTAACGTTGAAAAAGTCACTTTGCACTATTTGAAATGAGATCAGTTCATTTAGCCAAGCGTGCCCCGATAATTTCACTATTCCAAGTATGTGAATTGCAGAATTCAAACCCATTTGTCATTCGTGTAGTAGTAGTTATTTCCCGTTATACGGTTCGTAGATTTTTTTTCTTTGAAGGTTATGGACATGATTAAGAGTAATCGCACTTACTTGAACTGGTGCAGTTCTACGGACTTTCCGACAACTGCCGGTGTAGTACAATCGCCGGACGAACGCCCAGAGAAATTTAATACCTCTGGTGAACATCTTTCCGAAATCGGCCAACAAAATAAGAAATATTGGTATACCAAATATAGCATATACGATTGTAATGAACCGGCCAGTATTGGTCGACGGAGCTATATGACCGTAACCTGAAACCGAAAAAAATATTGTGAGTTATCTTATAATATATTATCATTGTCCCGCATCTGATCGGCTGCACACGTATTTCTATAACTATAATTAGAAACATTTTCGACCCAAGAATAATAAAAAAAAAAATGACCGGAATAATTAATAATCGTTTTAATGTCGGGGTAAACGTAGTAATATACGAGATAATAGCCAGATAATCGCCATTAGTTTAAGAAAACCTATACGGGGATGGTCTACAATTTGATATTTATAAAACCTAATACGTTCAATTCCAAATAAGAATTACAGCTTTTCAGTACAGATCTGTATGAAATAGAAACTATTAAGTTCTACATTATTATGTAGAATTATTAAAAATTCAAAGCAAGAGTATATTAACATAAAATAAGCTAACTACTTACCTTGTGTTATATTACTCTTGGCGTGAATTTTTAATAATTCTAAAACATTATAAGTACGTATATTAATATTAAAGAAGTAAATAATCAATAAATATTAATAATTTAATCGATGTAAGCTGGTGTTATAACTGTAAGTTAATATTGAAATTATAAATTTTTTATGAAAATTAATTTCCTAATACATTATAATTATATATTATTTAAAATTTATAATTTATAATATGCAATAGTACCGATTTTATGAGAAAGCCAGAGAAAGAGAGCAAAAAGTAATCAGAAAAATAGAGATAGAGACAGAGGTTCGTTTCCCAGAGTTGGGCATTAGTCAAATAAAATATTATTCGATTGATTATTTGAATAAAAAATTATTCTTCATTGATTTATTCTTAATTTAATTGTTGATTTTTATTTTTATTCATTATTTTAATTTGTATTATTATTCGTTAGTCGTTATTCCCTATAATTATATAAATAATAAATTTAAATCCTAAATAACGATGTATAATAATAATAGACTTATTATTTAGACTTAAATAATATATATATATATAAATGTAATACATATTAATACATTTAATAACTGACAAAAATAAATTAAATATACTTTTATATTTCATATCATTCATGATTTTAACGAATAAATTTATTCAATACACCACAATTATTCAAAATAAAAAATTATTCTTTATTCATAAATATATTAGTTATTTATGCTTTTATTTTTATTCTTTATATTGATTTGTTTTTGTCCAACTCTGTTATTTCCTCATGAACATCAATGATGTGAACCATAAATCTGGTTATTCCTTGTTTCATATCAATGCCATCAGAATTTAAGTTAAATAATTGGTTAAATTATTTGTTACAATAATGTCTATGGAATATTACGAATTTAAAATTAGTTTCGGCGTAAAATAATATGCGTTTGTGATTTGTACAACAGTTACTAATTATAATACGATCATAATATTTTATGTTATTGATCATTGATCTAAAGTGTTCGAAAAATTCTATTAAATCCAAAAATGTACTGACAATCAAATTCAGAGTATTTTCAGAACTCATGCGAATATTTGGAATTCAAATAATTTTAGCGATAAACCACCGAAATTAAATTAAAAATACATTCGAATGAAAAAAATTTGGTTTGATTATTTTATCACTCTCAGGAAATAATAATTAAATAATCAAATAATTTTTACAAACTACTTGTATTAAAATATAACAAGTATTTTTGACTTTTACTCATCCAATAGATATTATGTGAATTTAGTTTATAATGCATGAATTAAGAAATTATTTATAATTTAAAAAACATATAATTTATATTAATAATTTAATTTATATTTTTTACTGAGGTATCACGGAGAACTTTATTTTATGATTTATAGTTTTTTCGAGATATTATAATACATTTTAATTATAATATTATTGTTCAAAAAGGGCCCAACCCGTATAATTAAATAAATAAATAAAACATTGACAATACTAGATTTGTAAATTTGGCATTTCTATGAATAAATCAGTGTACTAATAATATGTACTAATAATATGTAATCATGTACCTACAAATATACCTCGAATGTCTTAATTTTAATAAGAGCATTTTTAACCATCACTCGAAATACTTAAAACGTATTTAACAACCGATCTCTATTCGGCATTTTTTTTGAATGCGATGATTTATTGTTGTTATGATCAAATTGAAATACACCGGCTTCGGTGGACGCGACTCAACCCTAGTGTTTCCTAATATTATTAATGATTTTGCTTTTATTTGTTATTTTTTTTTATTCAAAATTGGCAAATCAATTATTGTTATATCTCGATGGACTTATCACGATTCTGCATAGTAATATTATTTTTATGATTTGACATTGATTTATTTTTTCAATTCTGAAAAATGCCAAACGTAAGAATGAATTATCAATCGAAGTTTCTGATAGGAATACCTAAATTAACGAATCTATTATAATAGATTACAGAAATTAAATTTACTCCTGTTTATCGTTTCATAAAATGGTTTATTCATTTGTTACACGTTTCTAGATTGCACCCGGGCACGCACATACTCATAGAGAGAGAGAGAGTGAGAGAGAGCGAGTGAGAGTGAGAGAAAACGGAAGGGGGAAAGAGAGAAAACGTATTTTTTTTTAAATATGCGTGTAAATAGTTTTATATAAATACACCGCACTATCCCTAATTGTTCGTATATCCAGGTAGGTTTATAGTGTAATGGATTTTCAATAGAAAACCCGTATCCGTACAACGTCACGGCGTAATCGACGGATCACAAACAATGTGATACAATAATAATTAAAATAATAATATGTGTAATTATGTTTAGGTATAACATGTACGAGTACGTCAAAATAACGATTATTTAAATCGGTTTTATGCAAATAGCACGCGATTATATTATTATTACCACGGTTCGTCTTCGACTTCTGCACACCGTCATTAAATTATTATTACTATATTATACTCCGATGTTTCAACTCTATTATGATGATAACGATGACGATGATAATAATAATAATATATTGTACGTACACGGAACAACAATGGTCGGTGGTTATTAGGTGGCGAGTCTCCGTACAGGCGTATAATGGATAAAGTTAGTAAAATGAGACGCGCCGTAATAGATTCGATTCGACTGGAAGAGGTTATTATTATTATTATTAACAGGTATGGAATATTAACGCCTGTGCAGAATAATAAGCCACGTAATCTGCATCGTGCGTTTCTTGTTATTGTAATATTCGTGTAATTTACATTTAGACCGATCGACCGCTGTCCGTCGCCGCCACGTGTACAATATGCAAAATGTTACGTCGATCCCGAAACGATGTGCGATAGTTGTCCGTGAACATAAACATCCCGACATTAGCCGATACAAGACTATGAAATATCATGCACAGTATATCCTAACAATGTTAATCTTTTTTTAATATTTAACAAGCGCTATCTCAGTGCGTTTTAATCCTTCTGTTTTTCAATAAGAAAAGTAACAATAATATGTTCAGTTATTTATAATACACCGTGTTTGGAATTGTGTTACAATTTTTAATATCCAATGGAAATTTCAAGAACCGTACTTTGAATTTCATATTCTACAGCTGATGTAGGAAAATGATCGGCCATACTTTTTTTGAGAGATTCCCCTAGTAAGATACCCAGAATTTATAATAAATCAACGAGATTATTATAGTTTTATCATGCTGATTATTTCCTAGGTTTTATTTGCCATCCCACTTGTTTTAAATTTAAACATATCAAAATGATAAATTACTCGTTTAGTAATTGATTTATATATAAAAAAAAAAAAAAGTAAAAACTCAATTATTATAATTTATAATAAATTTATTTTGCAAACAAACTGGAAATAATAACTTCAAATTGTATAAACAACAATTTTTCAAAAAATATTAAATTAATCAAAAAACGAGTGGTCAATGTTAAAAAAAAACCACTTATTAACACTACACAAAATCGTAAAAATTCACATTGTGCAGTAATAACTAAAATGCACTAGGCTCTATAAACATGTGCAATATAGCACACCGATAAATGAACCATGTTAAGTTTAGACAAAAGGAGTGAAATTGTGTTGGAAACAAGAACTGGGATGACAACATGCTGGTGGTTTTCGCTCTTCTTGCCTGAACATCAAACGATTATAATTTGTTAGTTATTCATTAGATTTATAACGGTTTCGATTTTACAAACGCTACGAAGTATATTATGTTTGATGTAATCAGGTGACAACTTTTTTCGTAGCACCGATTTAGGAACGGATTTATTTTATACATCATAGTATGTATTAGCAATCATTGATTAGATTATTGGAAATTTGTCAGAAACGCGGCCAGTCTCGCATCATACATTTGAAAGGGCGCTTTGTCACGTGATCGAGCAATAAAAACACAAACGATGTGCATGCGCATTTCAGATCAAATAGGAAAGTGGAACAATCAAAACGATACTGCCGACAAACAAATGCGAACGGGGGAGGATAAATAATATCTTTATCTTTCGAATCGATACTAAATTAGCTTCAACTTTTTAATGGACAAATAAACTAGGTGTGGCTGCATTAAAAAATAAAAAAAAAAAAAACATACTAAATAATTTGTATTACAACGGTTCTATGTTTGCGACGGTATGAATGGCAGACATCTTAATGGAAACTAATTTATTAATTTTCCGTTGTGCGCGCACAATCGATAACTTCTCGCACGTACTGCGGGGGTTAAATTACGATTTCGCGCCCGTTAATTTAATAAAAAAGTGGCCGTAGCGGTGACGCGGCGCCCCCGTCGTCATCGCAAAACCGGCGCCCGAATGCTTTCCACTTGATAATGTACAATTGAAATATTGTCAGATTAAAACTCCGGAGGTTTCGCGAGAATCGCGAAATGATAAATCGACCGTTCTCAACAGAAATAACAACGGTCATATATTATTTTATGCGAACTATTATGTTCCACGGTTTACGCCGAGCATTTGGCGCTCTTTATGCGTTATTTTACACGATGGGGACGAGCCGAACGAGAACAATAACGGTATAACATTCGTCCCAGTGGCTACCGGGG